CAGGCGCCCCCAAATAAATAAAAATCTTAAAAAAAACCAAAACTTATGTTTCAAAGCTACAGAAAAAAACCTCTACACATATACCCTTCTGTTCTGATGCTTCTACTCTATAAGACAGAACCCCAAAGGTGGAACTGCTGGGACAAATAATTATTATATTTAAAAATTTATGTGTCAGAGTCTCTGGACTCCGGGAAACAAACTGAGGGGTACAGAAGGGACGGGGGTGGGGGAATGGGGTAGCTAGGTGATGGGTATTAAGGAGGGCACATGATGTGATGAGCACTGGGTGTTATATGCAACTAATGAACCGCTGAACACTCCATCAAAAACCAGTGATATACTCTATGTTGGCTAACTGAACATAATAAAAAAATTTAAGTATTACATTTACTTGCACATGGTACAAAATTCTAAAGTAAGAAAACGAGGTACAGTGAACAGTTAAGTGTCACCCCACCCCCGTCTCCTAGTTGTTCCAGGTGCCCTCCTCAGACGCACAGCCACGGTGATATGCTTGTATATCCTACTCTATCCGGACACATGCATTTCGAGCCATCTACGTGCACATTACGAGTTTTCAGTCACCCAAGGCAGCACTATGCACACGGTGCTGCAGCGTTTCTTTGGGTTTTTACAATTAAATGATCTCAGAGAGTACTTCTCACCAGTGTACAGCATCCTGTGACCTGGATGCACCACGATTTCTCAGGCCACTCACTCCTGGTGGTCACTGAGGCTTCAGTATTATACACAAGGCTGCAGGGGACACCCTGTACACATGCTGCGTCCCGAGTGTGGTCTGTAGGGTAGCTCCCCACAGAGATGCACACACAAGGGTCTGATGGCTCCTACAGTTGCCATTCCCATAAGCCAGAGTGCCGTCAGGGAATGTGCACATTCATGTCCCACAGGCTTGCTGGCACGAACTGTGACCATCTTTGAAATGCCTGCCCCTCTGGAGGGTGAGCCAAGGGCATCTGGTTTCCACCTGCAGGTCCCTGCAGGCTGCTAAGAGATGTTCACCACCCACCCACATTTCCTCTACGGTTCACCTCGCCCAGTTTTCCTGATGAGCTGCTGGTCTTTCCCCCGTTATTCTGAAGGAGCTCTTTACATATTAGGGACACTAACCCTTTAGCAAACGTGTTACAAATATTTTTTCCTAGTCTTCAACATCACGTTTTTAGAGAAATATACTTCGGCTTTACTACCTTATCTCAATCTCTTGAGAAAAAAAAATTTTTTTTTAAAGAAGTTACAGCAATTCAGGGCATTGGAGAAAGGACCTTTGAAGTGAGAGGGAATTGGGAACAATCAATGAAAACTATCCGTAACAAGTGGCAGCAACTCAGCTCCCAAAACTGTAGCCACGGGAATGCACGTGCTCCCCAGGAGCGCCCTCTGGAGGACTATCCACTTGATTGCACACTGAGCAGCAAGCTGGTCCTTTTCTCAACAGGACCAGGTATAACTTTGGGTACACCCATCAGTGGACTCTTATCTGGCCATCAAAAATAATATTTAGAAATACTCAGAGACATGGAAAAATAAAACACATGAAAAGTGCGGGAAAACTGCAATGTATGATCCTCAACTGTTGAAAATTACACACATACAAGCAAAATCATTCAAAATGACATGACAAACTAGAAAATACACAATTCAAATCGTTGACGAAGGACTAATTTACTTAATTTAGAAAGAGCTTCTACAAATGCTGGGGCGCCTGGGTGGCTCAGTCCATTAAGCGTCTGCCTTTGGCTCAGGTCATGATCCCAGCATCCTGGGATCGAGCCCCGCATCAGGCTCTGTGATCAGCGGGAAGCCTGCTTCTCCCTCTCCCTCTGCCTGCCTGCCTCTCTGCCTAATTGTGATTTCTCTCTCACTCTGTCAAATAAATAAATAAAATCTTTAAAACAAAACAAAACAAAATAAGAGCTTCTACAAATGCCTCAGAATAAGACCAATTACCCAACAGTGAGAAGGAAAAAAGGCTGAAGAGACATAAAGGAAAACTGGTCCTCAAATTCTCAAGATGTTCAACCTCACACGTGACAGATGCAAAATGAGCATGAGAAATGGGGTTATGTAAAGGTACTCAGTGTCTGTACCAGCACAAGATCAACAGGTGCCTGGCTAGGTAAGGGATGGTGCATCTGTGAAGGAACCGCTGTGGCCATGCAGACTGGGGCAGCTATGTACACAGAGTGTTTGCCAAATACACTGAGAAGTAGAAACAAAATAAAATACTGAGGTACAAACAGAGCTAATTGTATCATACTGTTCATATGAAAAACCGTGCGTATGCGTACACGCATCTAAGACAACAGGGGATGCTTCTGAGGAGTGGAAACACAATGGCTGAGAGCTGACAATGGGAGGGACACTTATTTTACATTATTTACAATTGTACCCACTAACTTTTTAATGATTTGCATATATTATCTATTCGAAAACTAATTTAAAACAAAAATAAAGTTCCATTTTTTTTATTTTTTAAAAAAGATTTCATT